ACAATACACTCCACTGTTTTCGTGATGGTATCCCAGGCCAGACTGAGTTCATTCGGCCCTATCACCACTTGCAAAGGGATGACACACGGACACGTACTGAACAACTCAGTTCAGCAGCTCGGTCCAGCGCCTGTCACACAGACAGGGACTGGACCTGTGAAATCTTAAATAATCCTTAAAAAATAAAAAAAATTAGCACCAGAGTATGTAAATATTAAAATTGTATTGTCGTTACGATTAAACAAAATGACAAAAAAAAATGAAAATTCTCTTCTGCCAAGTCAAAATAGGTAATACAAGTTTTGTTTAATTCAGATTCCCAACATTATTTGGAAACGTACAATTTATAACAGCTCGCCGTGGCTCCCTTGGGGGGCCATGGCCCCCAGGTTGAGAACTACTGATCTAAAAGGAGAGTTCCTACCCAATCCCTAGTGTTTTAAATTCCTGGTTGTTTATTGACATAGTGCTGTCACAGCTAGTCCTGCACCTGTCTGTCTCGATGGTGTATTGGTATAACCAACGGGATGACTATGAGAAGAGAAGGAGTTTTCTATTTAATGTAGAATTATTTTTTTTTTTAACAATATCTATGTATTATTGTATTTCTGATGTACAGTATTATGTATAATATTTAGTATTTATTAATGTAGTTTTGGAACAGTTTATGTTTATTTTTTTATCTCTGGAACCTAACTAATTATTTCCATTTAAATCAGTTAACCAGGCATAGGCAACCTTTCCTCAGTCATGGGCCACATTACGATTTACGTATTTTTCTGTGGGCCAGCCCGCCAAAATTTATATCCTACCTAGCCCAAAAGTAATGTTAGTATTATACAGTATTAGCACGGAAAGAGAAACAGTTTATCATCATGTCCACCTTAATATATTTTCAGTTTACAATCACAGTCTTTTTCCCATTTATGAAACAAATCCATCATAATAAATTTTTAAGTACAGTACAACCTTGATAAATCATACTAATTGAGGCAGACCCCAGTCCGGAAAATGCGAAAGTCCGAAAAAAGCGAATCTATGGGGGTTTGGACATAACCTAAACTTCTAGACTGTTTGTGGAAAATCGACATGAGTCTGGTTGTTAATACCATATTTTATGGCGGTACTGTATTTAAGAAATAATTTTTGTGTGAAGTTTCCTCCTGTAGCCATAGTTTTCTTAAAATAATATACGAACAGTATTTTCTCGATTCAATGAACTAATTCGAGTCACCCCTGTTCGTTAAATCAAAATTTCCACTAAATTGAGCTCTTTCGGTCAACTTAGTGTAGACTGAAGCACCTTAGCTTTCGTCTTTATTTAAGACATCTTTAGATGCAACTGAATTTACAGGGATGGAATGTCAGGTCACTCTTTCTTGGGGGGGGGGGTGGGGATTAATGGGTCTCATGACCTGAAGATGTCTTGAAAAAGACAAAAGCTAAAGAATTTTGAGGGGAGACTTGACCTGATGCATTGTCAGGTGGAGTAGGGTGGGAGATTAGTGGTCTCATATTAGACATCCTATTGGAATGTTAGGTCACCCTTTCTTGGTTGGGGGATTAGTGGGTCTCAGGACCTGAAAATTTCTTAAATAAAGACAAAGCTAAAGTATTTTTTTAGTGAGATTGTGAGAAGTATAAATGAGCAAAGTTGTATCCCTTCAACATTACATTACATAACATTTTAAAATATGGAGTGAGAAAGCAGTGATAAGGATGGCTGGAGATAAATTCTCTACGAGATGTTTCCAATACCCATACAGTAATATCCTTAAATGACAAGCCGAATAATGTGGTAAAAATAAGTATTTTTCTGTATATGAAGGGTACTGGTATTAATAAGCTCAAATTAGTAAAGTAACATATCTCTACTAATTAATAAATAATAAATAAATAATATTTTGCCCAGTAAGAATGACAGAGGCAAACAACCTTTTTAGGGGTGTGCAGTCAGTTTCTACCAGTCTCTATATACAGAACTAAATAAAAGAATTTATTTGAAATACTCTAACATTTGACACCATAATATCCTGACCACTGGGGATAGTTATACAGACTTTTCCCTGTGAATAAGCCATAATTTTTAGCAACGTTACTGCACTCACTTTGTACTCAAATGTACTAGGCTAAAGGACTAAAATTTTTATCTTGTGCAAAGTATGAGATGTTTAATACTGTACTCAAATTAATCGCTGTCTTGCAAGGATTCCAGCAATACAATTTTATTCTGCTGAGTTAAGTCGGTGACATTTTATAAGCTAAAAAATGCATAAATTACCACAACCTGTACTCAAATGTACTAAGTTAATGACTATAAATTTTATGTCAAGTGCAAACTATGTGATGTTTATACTCAAAATTAATCACTATCTTGCAAGGATTCCAGCAATGCAAGTTTGCCTTTTGGGAATAAACGATTCATGGTGTTGAGTGTGGAATTCTTTTTTCAAGAAAGTTGATTCTTTTAGCATCATATTTTATCAACCTGGCACCAAATGAACCTAAATGATATGAGAATTATGGTGAAATTACACAAAACCGTGTTATAGGGATTGTAGCGGATACTCTGCCCTACAGCAGCCTAGCCGTTCTAGATACGCGCCAAGTTTCTCTCACAAGCATCGCCGGCTAGACACGCGCCAAGTCTAGACGTCCAGACAAGGGGGGGGGGGTCGACACCGGCAACTTGTACTTCCGTTCCACGTCCGCTGGACGTGTATATAAGCTCCCCTTCTCGCCGTGTAGGACGGATTCAACCTGGAGCCCAGCAACACGCAACACCTCCTCTAACGAAGCTCCTGCACAGCAACTCCTCTACCACGCAGCTTTCACATCAGAAAATTGACGTAACCCTACAAATGGTGACCCCGGAGTGACCATTTGTAGGGTTACGTGATGTTGTCTCGCACTCAGGATGGGTTGGAGAAAGGAAACTCTTAATGGTGGTTTTCTTATATAAAATATATTATATACAAAACAGTCTGGTGCTGGGACAGGCTTCCCGACACTGTCCTGCGTCGGGAGTTCAGTCTACACCTCGTGTCCTGCGCCACTTGGCTTACATCTCGGAGTTCACCAGCGACGTCCAACACATTGAAGGCAGCCACAACGAGATCGCCGACACCCTCTCTCGTTGTATATCCAGCATTCTTCCCTCATCTCCACCCATTGATTACGGGCAGCTCGCCGCGGCTCAAGAGAACGACGAAGACCTGGCAGCGTACAAGACATCCCCCTCAGGCCTCACACTCCAAGAACTCCCTGTTCCCGGCACGAACATCAAATTGTGGTGCGACGTACCCTGTGGGCAGCCTAGACCGTTCGTGCCTCACGTCCACCGCTGCGCTGTTTTTGACCGCATCCATGGTCTCGGTCACTCCAGGGTCACCAATTGTTGCGTATTGAATGTGTGGCCAGTAGATATCCCACACTCAGGACGAGGTAGGAGAGAAACTCACAATTGCGTTTTCTTTATACAGTGGCCCCTCGGTTAACGAACTCAATCCGTTCCAGAAGGTCGTTCGTTAACCGAAACGTTCGTTAACCGAAACCATTGTTTCAATGGGTTTTTGGGTAATTGGTTCCAGCTCACCGAAAATTTCCTAAATTCAACAAAAATGGTAGAAAAGTTCACTTACTTTGAGGTGTGTATGTAGAAGGCTCCTGGATGATGATGATGATGATGGGATTTAGAATGGGGGTGGAGGAGAAGGAAGAAGAGAAGGCATTGGGGTGGAAGAGAAGTCACCCCATGGTGCCATTTCACCCATAAAATTTTAGCTCTCTGGTTTAATTCAAGATTATTTTCTTTAAATCAATGCTGCACTGCATTATATATTGTCAATATATAAAATATATTTCAAAATGACCAATAATTTGCTTGGAAACACAGAAAAAAAGCGTTTAGTTGAAGAGAGTCTCAAGCAAGATGTTACCTCCAGTGAAAACAGAGAGAGACTGACGCCTGTTTGCTGTGTTAAGAGGCTGGATGCCGCGCATTAAACTAGTCACTTTACCTTCAATTTCGTTCAATAATTGTTAAAATGACTAAAAAATTGAATATTAAACTTTTAAAATTATTGAATAGTATAAACTTCTTGATATTTACAAAAATAGTAAGGAATTTAAGCCCTAGAACCGATTAATGTATTGGCGGACTGATACTAAAGCTGGTTGCCCGGTCAGTGCAAGCGAAAACATGTTGAGGTCGGTTCGTAAGAAGTTCGTTAAGCGAATTTTTTTTCGTTAACCGAATTGAAGATCCTTATGGAAGGCAGTTCGTTAATCGAAATTACGTTAACCGAGGTGTTCGTTAAACGAGGGGTCACTGTATATTGTAAGTACAGTGCAGTGCTTGGGAGATGCCGTGTGGTGAGAAGCCTGCTCAGAGGACCTGTTGGGTGAGTAGTGTGCTGAAGGGAGCTTCGTTAGAGGAGGTGTTGAGTGTTGCTGGGCTCCAGGTTGAATCTGTCCTATACGGCAAGAATGGGAGCTTATATGGAACGGAAGTACAAGTTGCCGGTGTCGACCCCCCCCTTGTCTAGACTTGGCGCTGCCTCTAGGCGATTAGGCTTTGCAGAACTCCGTTGCCTCCCTTCCTCTTGCTTCTCTCAGATATACACTTGTCTTCCACATACAATATACTCCTACACTTATTGTTCTTATTTTTATCTTTATAGTACTGTACAGTATACAGTTTTCTCTTTATTCACAAGACAAATTCTGTTGTCACTTACGGTACATAAAACACTTTACAATACTGTACGTAACGTTCATCTCGGTGAAAACATTTGTTGACAACCAGACTTAATTTTGGTTTCATATTTTTTAATTGTTGATAAATTGTCTTTTAATAATCTTGTTATACACTTTAAGACCTTAGTTGTTGAACTGCAGTAATAACATAACAACAACTGAGTTTCTTAAAACAGTTCAGATAAGCAATGTTATCTCCACCCCCCATATAATCACTTTATTCAGACTTTTGCATTTTTCAGACTGGGGTCTGTCCCAATTAGTACGATTTATCGAGATTGTACTGTACAGAGGTAAGTAGGACTGGTGACGTAAGTTTATCATCGCGGTATAAGTATACACTAGTGCACTAAGGTAGTATAAGTTGCTATTTGCAGTTTTGTCAATTCATGCTATTGCTTGGAACCTAAGAACCTAACCTAATTAAATAAATATTTCAGATGTTCCTGTGGTATCAGAAGATGGAAGACCACTATGACAATGAACTTTTACGCTGCTTTAGTAATCATTGAGTTTAGTCTTACACAAGGAGTGGAGAGAAATAGGAGTATTAGTGTGTCCTAGAAATACTTAGAAAAATGGATAAATAAAGTATTATGAAAATGGAAGGAACAGTTCAAACTAAGCTACTCATTCATGAGAATAGTTGTGAAGAAAAAATGCAAGAATTATCTGAAAAAGCTTCTGCTGGAATTGAGTCAAAAGCTTTACTTGATATTAGGTTATCATCAGAGCCCTTATACAGAGACATGATACTGAAAGAAGAGGCCATTGATGATCCCAGTGCAGAATATGAGGAAAATGATGTGAAACTTACTGGTGATTTCACCCATGTTACAGCAGTTGATGGAACCAAGACCAAAAAGAGGAAGAAAAAATATGAGAAAACCTACCCTTGTGAAAAATGTAATCAGGTTTCACGGTCATCTGCTAACCTCAAAAAACACATGATGACACATTCTGGGGAAAGACCATACAAGTGTATCATATGTCAAAAGGCATTTAGACAGATGCATCACTTATCTGATCACACTCGAACACATACAGGGGAACGTCCCTTTGAATGTGAGGAATGTGGGTCTAGATTTGTCCAAAAGTCCTCTTTGAATTTACACAGAAAGAAGCATTCTGGATTTAAGCCATATTCTTGTAGTATTTGCAATCATTCCACTTATGAAAAGATGCATCTGAAAATGCACATGAGAACCCATACTGGGGAAAAGCCTTACCAGTGTGAAAAATGTGGTCAAACTTTTTCAAATTCAACTCGCTTAAAGTTTCACACAATGATACATACTGGAGAGAGGTTATACAAATGTGATGAATGTGGAGTGAGTTTTCGAGAAAAGGTCACCCTACAAAAGCATAAAGGGGTTCACATTAATATAGGTCCATTTACATGTGAAGAGTGTGGACAAGAGTTCTCACGCTTAGCTGGTTTAACTTTGCATTGTAAGGTTCATTCTAAGGAACGTGATTACATTTATGTATTTAATAAAACAGCAAATGAAGTTTTAAAACCTCTACTACCTGAAGTATCTAGGGATAAAGCAAACCAAGAAAAACAGAACTTTCAAGCTTCAGGAAATATATCAAGTGTGAATAAAACAGATTTACTAAATGCCTCCTGCAGTGCACAGGACATTGCCAAGGTTATAGAACTATCAGGCGGTTTTGGCGTTAAATCTGAAAAACGCGCACTTTCCAAAAATATGTCAAGTACAGGTATATCAAATACAGAAAAGACTGCCAGTATTTCATATGCTTCATCACTAGTTAGCAACTTACAAATAAAATTGAAGGAAAATTTAGCCTCCAACCTATCTGAGACCAACACACAAAATCTTGGTAGTGTGGTGCCTCCTAACCATGTGCGAGCAGCTTTAGAATCTGGAACTGTCTTGGAGACTCATGGTGAAGATGGCAAAGGATTTTATATAATATTACCACCATCCCTAAAAAATAAAGAAATCATATTTTCCTCAGATTCAGCACAGACCAATGGCAGTGTAATGACAGCACCACAACCACCATCTAACATAACTGTAGATTTACCAGAAAGTGAGACAATTGTAGAATGTGATTCTACAAAAATATTTTCCCCTCAAATTTGTGACAGTCACAATGAAGCTTATCAGAGTGTTGTTCAAGAACTCCCTGAAAATGATGCTTGCCAATATCCAGTAGAAGTATGTGCAGTGCAGAATGCAGAAGCTGATGATTATACCATAGAATTACAGGGGGAGCTTCATGATGATCATGATTATGAAGGTTCACACATGACATCAGTAGAGGTATCAGAGGAACTGGTCAATGATAACCATAAGTATTCACGTGTTGTACGAGAGGAGATTCATTCTGATGGAACAAGTGTTCTTTTGTGGAATGATGAACTAGAGCATCTCAAAGAAGTTACATATGTAATAGAAGAACGGAGTGAGGGGCCTGTATTAAGCCAACCCCAGGATGTAAAGAGTTATAACTCCAATATGTTCGAGGGGGGAGCTATAATTAAACCAAAGAGAAAAAGGAAATTTAAGGGAAATGAATTCTCTACAGATGATATGAATACTAAAAAACAGAAGAGAAAGAAATGTGATTCTGAGAGACCCAAATCTGTAAAGATTAAGGTAAAAGACAAAAATTTAGAAGAAAAGAGATTGAAGAGTCGGATGGTGTATGATTGTCCACAGTGTGGAAAGGCATGTAAAACTTCTTCTAATTATATTTCTCACATGAGAACACATTCAGGAGAAAGGCCTTATTCCTGTGACATTTGTCAAAGAGGATTCAAGCAGATTGCACATCTTCGCTCTCATATAAGGATTCACACTGGTGAGAGGCCATATGTATGCCAAATTTGCAATGCTGCCTTTACACAGTCCTCAAGATTAAATTCCCACATTAAAACCAAGCATGCAAAAGGGAAGATTGAAGTAAAGAAGAAAGTTAAGCCAGTGGTAAAACATAAGGTAAGAAATTTTTACTGTAAAATCTGTAAGAAGACTTTTATTAATGAATGTTTTAAAATAGACCATATGAGAACTCACTTATCAGTACAGCTATACGAGTGTAAAATTTGCGGCATTCATTACAAAAGCAAAAGCAGTATGGTAAAGCACAGGCTCAAACACTCTGATCACAAATGTATATGTGAAATATGTGGCACTGGCATCTCAGACCTTTCTTCTCTCCAGGAGCACAGGATTACTCAACATGATGAGAGCGTAAGAGAGAGTGGCATGTCAGATGTATGTATTAATGTCAAAATAGGAGAAGAAAAAGATTTTGTTGTTATAAACCCATCCATAAAGAATATTCAAAATGAAGAAGATGTTAAAATGAAAGAAGAAATTATAGATGTTACTGAGGTTAACAGTTATCATGTGATGCAAGAAATTATACATGTCACAGACACAGATGGTTGTGTGAAGAGTGAGGTGATGCAAGTAGCAGAAGTAGATGACACACACATTAAGAGTGAAACACTGGAGGTTCCAAACCCTGAGGAATATAAAGTGGAAATAGAGGAAAGTTTTGACAAAAATGTAAAGATTGAAAATGAATTGCAATCCACTGGTGATGATGATTCTCAAAGGAATAATAACCCCATCAAGATATCAGAATCTGAATTTCAGTCAATAGATTCAGTAGAGTCCATAAAGGGTGAATTCAGTAAAATGAAGATTCAGATTACCTGTATTGACAATGCCTGTTTAGGAAGAAAAATTTGGGTCTGCAAAGTTTGTGATAGGGCTTTTTTGCAGTCATCTAATCTTTATAGTCATATGAGAATGCATACAGGAGAAAAACCATACAAATGCAATGTTTGTTCTCGTGCATTTAGGCAAATAACACATCTAAAGGATCATATGAATAGGCACACTGGTCTAAAGCCCTATAATTGCGGAGAATGTGGCATATGTTTTTCTCAGCGATCTGCTGTGAATCGCCATATTAGAAATAAACATAGAGATAATGCTTCAGTACAGGTATTAAGGAACACTGAAATTTTACAGGGTGGAATAAAGGACTTGCCCTCTTTAGCTTGTGGGAATCGGTTAAGTAGGTGTAAGCAGCCATTGCAAGATGGGGATGTTTCCAAAAATCCACGTCCTCTGGTTAAGATGAAAACATGTAAAATATGCAGAAAAATATATCCTGCAACTTACCTAAAATCACACCTTCGATGTCACACTGGCGAGCGCCCATATAAGTGTAGCTTTTGTAAGGAAGCTTTTAAACAGAAACCTCACTTGCATTCTCATGAACTTCGTCATACTGGGGAAAAACCTTATGTTTGTAAAAAATGTGGTGCCTCATTCACTCAGTCTTTTAGATGTACCACTCACATGAGGAAATGTAATGGAAGCAAAAATAAGGTAAACACTGATGCTGTTAAGAGATGTCATTGTACGTGTGGAGCAAGTTTTAGATTGCGTCTCCAATTAGTTAGGCATCAGAAAATTTGTACTGCTGGAGAAGATAGTGATAAAAGTACAGACAAGAGTGAGCCAGACATATCTTATGATGAAGAGAGTGAGATGGAGTGTGAATTTAGGAGAAAGCGGAAAATTAAAACACACAAAAAAGAAGACTGGAAAGGGAGCAAGACAGTAAAAACAAAACAGTCTAGTCCTGCACACATTGTTCAAACATTTACTTGCAAAGATTGTTATGTAAAATTCCAGAGTTTTGCTGAGTACAAGAAGCACTTACTACAGCATGGAGATATGCCACAGGTTTGTGAGGATTGTGGAGCAACCTTCAGAAGAGCATCTGCTTTACGATTTCACCAGAGAATAAAGCATGACAGAGCAGATGAAAGATATAAGGAATATAATTTTGTAGGGCACGATGATATGAAAGAAGAACAATTAGATGGTGCTAGTGATGTTGAGGATAATATTGATTCAGTGCTCTTAAATCATACAAATAAAGAAAATGATCCCTGTAGAGAAAATAAGGTAAAGGTAGAGGAAAATGCTGTAAAGCTTAATGAAAAAAAAATAGACAATATGAAAGTGAATAGAATGCAAAGGAAAAGAAAGAAAGTTGAGTGTGTTAGTGGAAAAATTCTGCAAGATGATGCAGGCAAAGTTAGTAGTGAGTCAGTTACTTTACAGAAAAGTAGTATATCTAAAAAAACACTTGAAAAAATAAGTATAAAACAAGAAAAAGGAATTCCAAGCATATTAGTATGTCAGCAGGTAAATGGGAATCCACAGAGGAAAGTTAAAGATGAACCTCATGTTGGAAGTAGTAATACACTGTATAGTTGTGAAGCTTGTGAGAAAGTTTTTACGCGATCTTCCAAGCTTAAGCATCATGTTATGATGTGGTGTAAGGGTACTCAAGACTCTTCTAAACTTAATGTTTCTAGAAATATTGAATTCGTGCAACAATCTACCAATAAACTGGCTAAAAGGGTTGATAGAAAAAAGGATCAAATTGAGAAAAGGTCAGTGGAAAATGATTTGGCAACATCTTGTGCCACTAAGACAAAACCTAGGAATTTTAGAGGAACAACAAAAATTGATATAAATCTCATGTCTCAGCCTGAACAACTTGTTTCAGTGAAGGAAGAGGCAAATTCAGATATTGAAAATTAAATAGCATCTGCACAAAGTTATTCAGAAAATATGAGGTTATAAGAACAGGAAACGAGATCAATTCTTGGTGAGAATCGGTGTTTTAAGTAATTTGGTATAGTACTGTAAAGAATGTGACATATTACAGGAGCTGATTCCTTCAAGGTACACCTAGACTTATTTAAGTTATTTGACAGAATGATCTTTTAAGTGTAACCATTGTTGTTTGGCTTTCAGACAAAGGGCCCATTTAATTACCCACTACAGAAGACATACAGGTGAAAACCATACCAGTGTGATGTTTGTGATAAAGCATTTACTTAGTCTTTTTGGCTAAAAGTTCATACAAGAAGATTACATGGGGAGAATAAGCGTACATATGAAATTTGATTTTATATTACACCAATTATTGATTTGATGCAAGGCAGTACAGTACTTTTTTATAATTTAAAGCAGGATAGATTTTTATTTAGATACAAATGAAATGTTATTTTAATGTAGGTAGCTTCTAAAAATCTTAAGTCATGTCATAGGGTCCTACAAAAACAAAAGTCAAATTTTGAAGTTTGATTTTGGTTCTATATTAAGTCAACAAGAAATTTATCATGGTAAAAATTTTGCATGTAATGCAAACACCAAGTTAATTATGTATTCAAATGAAGTACAGTACTGTATTTGATATTATTGGAACAGACCCTCGAATCTGGGACCGAGACCAAACTGGTGTTGGGGAATTTCTAGTTCCCTGGGTCCAAGGTCATCCATCTAAAAAAGCCGTTGTTAAGCGGTCGATAGTATATCGATACTAATAACTTATGGGGGAAAATAGGTTATGTTCCTGAGACCATGACGTTTTATATCCTGCTCCTATAATGATTGAATAATGTCTAAACTCAAATGATTTATAAATAGTAAAAAAAAAATTACAAAATAAAGACAAAAAATAAATGAATAAGGATTTATTTTTATTTACCCTACATGATATATGCAATGTAAGTGTACAGTAGTAAGTTGCAATCCCCTAGCTGTCATTACAAGTAATTTTGGGTAGACACATAATTTGATTTTAACTCTTTTACATGTACACACTCTTTCATTCAGATTATATATACAGTAGTACCCTGCTTAACGCGGTCAATAAAACCCACAGGGTACCGTGTTAAGTGAAAACCGCGCTAAGTGAACAACAGAACATATGGGATTAATTCCAATAGAAACTGGCCCGACCCCCCAAACTCCACTTTTTGACGACACATAACTATGTTGTAGTAAAAATTTTATCTTAACTTTATGATGGTATGAAAAAACAAGTAATATAGAAGAGGTTAGGTTAGGAAAACTAAAAGTTATGTGGAACACTTACGTTAGTAGAAGAGATGGGTCGGCGTACGGTGATGGAGGCTGGTTCCGAGGCAGAAGGCAGATTACTGGCCCTCAGGTGAATCACCATTACTAGGTGAATCACCATCACTGTCACTTACAGTTGTCAGGGCTTCCCTGACAAATCCCTCAAAGTCATCTTCACTCACTATCACCACTGGCTGTGGTGGGTTGCGGGCGAAGAAATCTGTCATGCTTTGCTGACGCTGGTGTTGATGTTGTCGTGATACACCTTGATGTAGGGCTCCATAGTCTGCAACAGCTGGGTAGTGAAGATTTCATACCTGTTTGCGTCAGGGTCGTCGGAAAGGAGGAGCTTGGCTTTCTCGATACACTCGATGGCACCCCTAACATTACTATGGGATAACTGTTGTTCTTCTTGGGATGACACACCACCTGCCTCTTCACTGACCTCGTCATCATCATCATCTACCATCTCCTCGGTAGTCACATCAGGTTCCATTATCACCTCCAGGATGTCATCGTTGGTGGTCTCGGAGAAGCCTGGAACTGTAACAGTCTGCGCAGCTTCTCTGGCAAGGTCCACTGCTACTGCAACAGTCTGAACCTCACCAGTCACAGATTGACTCCTCCTCTCACCTGGTATTCCATGCAACACGTCTCCATGCGTGACGAATTGTAGCAATAGACAGCTGATCCAATGACTCCACCAAAAAGTCCACAGCTTTCTTGATGTTAAATTCTCTCCAGAATTGTTTGAACAGTATTTTTTGCTGTGCCAACTGTTGATCCTCATCTTCTTCGCTCTTGCTATCGGTGGTGGTGTCACTCAGGTTGCGCAACTCTTCCCTGGTGTTGGTGTAGTCGTTCAGGAGTTTGAATTTTTTCGTAGAGAATGCAGCTTTTACATTACAGATTAACTCTTGGTCCATGGGCTGTAATATAGATGTAGTGTTGGGAGGAAGGAAGACCACTTTTACGTTGGGGTGACGATCTAACAGTAGGGGCGAGTGTCCTGGTGCGTTGTCCAGCAGCAACAAAATCTTGAATGGCACATTCTGTTGCTCACAGAATTTCTTTACATCGGGAACAAAACAGTCATCAAACCAGGAGAGGGACAGTGTAGAGAACATCCACGCCTTACGTGCGGTCAGCCAGTGGACATTTAGCTTGGTCATGTCCATGGTTTTGTAGGCGTGCGGCTTGCGTGCTGTGTGGATCACCGACAACTTGAGCTTACTGGTACCGGAGGCATTGGTGGTAAACAGGACGGTGATGCGTTCCTTCTGCATCTTCCGGCCCCGAATCTTGCTGGCATTCTTTACAACGAAGGACTTGGAAGGTAGCTTTTTCCAGAAAAGACCAGATTCGTCCATGTTAAACACCTGGTCGTCGGTGTACTGTCCTTCCTCCATAATCTCACGTAAAAACGGAGGAAATTCCCTAACCGCAGCACGGTCAGCACTCGCTTCTTCACCACCAATGTTTATATTGGTGATCTTGTTCCGGATCTTAAACCTCTGTAACCACCCAGAGGAAGCATTAAAGGGTTTGGGCTCTGTAGTTCCCATCTTTCATGCCACTGCAATGTACAGTTCACGTGCGTAGTCCTTAACAGAGCGCGTGTCGACCGCCATGTTCCGTCGCGCCTGACGCACCAAGTACCTCACAAGTAATTTTTCTGTCTTGAGAAGCACCTGGTTGTGAAAATACTTGATCATAGAAGCACCTGTAGACTTTGTGATCTTCATGTGCTCCTTTATCTTGGCTGCATCCTTCTTTATTGTTCGAATCATAGATTCATTCACACCATGCTGGCGCACCAAATCAACCTGCCTTGTTCCTTTCTCCAACTCTTGGATGATGGTATACTTCACCTCGTAGCTTAAGGAACGTCGTGTCTTCTTTGGCTTAGTGCCGCTGGGTCCAGGTAAGGAAAGGTTTCTCTCTGGGGGTGGTGGTCCGGCGGAAGCCATTTTAGAGAACAATGGATGCACGTTTACACGGTCTGGCGTGGAGGGATGAAACTGGCGCGGCTAGGTCAAGGATCATCTTTCCTCCCTCCCTCCCTCCCTCCGGGTGGACACGTCATAATACTTTAAGCCAATTACAGCTAGCAGCAGAGGGGGTAGGGATGCATGGCCAATCACAGTCCGATACGTCATATGACGTCAGTGATAACGCAACAAAGACACACACTGCGCAACCTTACCGCGCGGCTTGCCCAAGCGGAGGGAGGAGGAGGGAGAGGCGAGGAGCACAGGCAGGCAGGCGGGTGGGGCGAATCTAAAAATAGCGTCGCGCCGGACACTCTCCGCGTAATGGGGTTCACGCACCGCGTAATGTGAGCACGTTAGGTTCTGGCAAGGCACCGCGTTAACGTGGAATGTGGGACCGCGTAAAGTGAGGGTTGACTATATATATATATATATATATATATATATATATATATATATATATATATATATATATATATATATATATATATATATATATATATATATATATATATATATATATATACACACACACACACAGACCCCCGACTTACATTTCTTCAACTTATGACCAATGGGGACTTCTACGACAGCCACAGATTTTTTATTAAAAAAAAAAAAAAAAAAAAAAAAAAAAATTCTTCCAAATGATGCATTTTCTATACCCGAAACGTTTCCCAGTTATGTAGTCTCCATGTATAATTGAAAATTATGGAATTTACATGTGCATTCAGCTGACTACATTAAAGGTAGTGCTCAGTCACACTGTAACCATTCCTTATTATTTATTACTTTTCCTGTACTGTATCCATTCCTCATTATTCATTACTTTTACTGTACTGTATTTCATTGTGGAATTATTTATTTATTTTAAAAAAAAAAAAAAAAAAAATTTTATCTATGTGGGACTTGACCATATCGGACTTCGACCTGGTTGGGTCCCTAACCCCGAAAGAATTAGAGTCTATATATATATATATATATATATATATATATATATATATATATATATATATATATATATATATATATATATATATATATATATATATATATATATATATATATATATATATATATATGTATATATATATATATATATATATATATATATATATATATATATATATATATATATATATATATAAACATGATTAACATTTCGATACTTCGTAATCGAGCCTAATTTTTTTTTTTTTTTTTTTACGAGGATACACACGGGCACAGGTCACTGACCCATAGGAGCCTGGGGGCGATAATGTAATACTATTAATAATGCTAATAATAATAATAATAATAAAGAACCATAAAGAAATGAAAAAATGAAAAAAATCAAGAGTGAGAAACAATGTACCTGTATGTATGTTGTGTTGTCAATAGTAAGAGAAACAATTGAGACCCTGCAATTGTGTGTAATTGAGGCAGAAAGTCAGATGAGCAACCTGGGACTTGGTCACAATTTTTGTGATGACATATTGTGGGGTACGTTATGTTTGGGTTCACACTCAGGATGGGATGGAGAAGGGAAACTCAATGTGCTCTCTGTATACATATTGTATTGGATGTACAGTGCAGCTTGGTGCTGGGAAGGCAGCATGGTTACAAGCGTGATGTAGAGAGAGCTGGTTGGTGAGGATGCTCAGAGGAGGACCAGCTTGTGGGTTGCCATGCTTGCCGGCGGGAGCGAGGGCCACCAGGCAGTAGGAGGAGGAGGAGGTGTTGCTTGCTGGTTGGTGTAGGTAGAAAGAGAGCTAGGTCACCACGAGGTCAGGTCTTATATAGCCGAGGTAGGCATGGCTTAATAGTTGACCTCCGCCATGTAAGGCGGTGCTGGTTGACCTAGACCACGAGGCATACACTGGGGAATTCGCGGGGTCGGCTACTCAGCGACAAGCGTTTGTAGGGGAGGAATCCACTACAATGCTCCCCCTTCCCTCCAGGCTGTGTAGGAGACTTGTTGTCTGCAGGGTTGCATGGCACATGTTAGGCAGAACAGGCAGTGCATGCCACATTTGAGACATAGCGGCGAGGGCGTGGATTAGCCGGCCGCTGGGGGGGGGGGCAACTCTGATTATACACACGAGATCTGTGGGAGAAGAGAGGGAGAAAGAGGGTGTGTGGGGGCGATGAATGTTGTACTTCCCTCGCTGCAGGTACAGAGTCCTCAGATTTGCCTGCTCGGGTGTGTGGGCCTGGGTCAGGTGCAGGGGCTGCGTCAGCAGGAGTGGAGGAGAGTCCGTGACAGCAGCTGGGTCCACGAACAGCAGCAGGGTGCAGGACAGTAGCAAGGGGTACCTGAGGGAGAAAAGAGGGGTGTGTGGGTCTGCGTCAGGACCTGGGGCCGCGTCAGTAGGAGCGGTAGGGGGTACTGCTGGGCCGGGGGCGGCGTCTGAGGCAGGACGGGTGTGTTGGGGTCTGCATGGATAAGCCAGTCTTCCATGTTGCTTGAAGACTGGGAGAGTGATCAGTTTCTCCTTCATCCTGTGTGAGTGCGAATCTCCGGGGGTCTCCATTTGTGGGGTACGTGATGTTTGTTCGGACTTAGGATGGGATGGAGAAAGGAAACTCACAATGTTCTCTCTGTATACATATTGTATTAGATGTACAGTG